AAATGCAAACCCGAATTGAACTGTGTCCCCTATTCAAGGCAGTCATTGGTTCTACCAACCTGTACTATGTACTGGCAAAGCGGGGAGAGGGAATGCCATGCTGAGTTTGGTCGAAGGGGATTTGTGCTAAGACACGGGGTGCCAGTGGGCAGGGTGCCCACTCAGACAGGAACAAGGAGGTTGAGGGAGTTTAGACCAACGGCACTGTTTCCACCGACAGCTGTGTCCCAGGGATCTGACCCTAGGCAAGATTCCAAAAAACTGCAAGGTCTGAAACTCTGCTCTAGTCTGACTTTCTATACCCCTGTTTCTCTGGGTGCCTGCCTGGGTCTTCCTCTTTTTTTCTCTTTTATCACTTTTTTCTTTTGTCAACTTTTTTCTCTTTATTCAGTGGCTATAAAGATGCCTAGACCCCCCCCACCATGAATCATCTTTCTTTATTCCACCTCCATCCATTAACCTCCAACCTTTCTACACTGCAGAGTTAGAAGCTCTGAGTCCCAGCAGAGATTGGGTCTTTCTTCCAGAACCTGCTCTTGGAACCCCAAACTCTAATCAAAGCTTTTAACTCCTTCCCCACAACCAGCATTCCTGGCCTTTGTATTCCTACCTCCACCTCACCCCCCAAGAAAGACCTGGGTTCTGATTCTACCCCCATCATCCATCAGTCCCTCCCAGATTTTCCAGAACTTGGTTAGTAGGATCCAGGCCACCCCCATCAATTACAGATGAGTTTACTAGAGTTCTACAGAAGTTAAGTGATTTGATCAAGGTTACCACAGGATTTTGTTTCACTGTTGCAAAAGAATTCAAGTCCCAAACCTGGCACTCCAAATCTAATGCTGATTTATACCACACTGCCTACTCGTGATGTTTTTTGCTCTATTAGAATATTCCCAGCAGAGGTGGGCCTCCCATTCCAAAGCACTGGGTTGACAAGTGAGAATATCAAGACAACTCCTCTGATTTGCCAAGAAGGTCCCCCATATGACTTCTGATGTCCACCCAGGGGGTTCTCTGAGTAGGTCCTGCTCCTCCTTACAGGTTGCCCAACCCCCTCAAACGTTTGCAGATAAACAGAAGAGCTGGTCCAGTTCTCACTGTGGTCACCTTGGCCATGGATCATGCACCACCTCCCTTGACTGTGACCTCTGACCCCAGGCTCTTTAATCAACAACTGCCAGAGCCTCCGGAACCACAGTGCATCTTGGAGCCAAGGGACAACCCGGAGCTGGTTCCTGCACTGGCCTGTGCCCTCTGCTGTTTCTTTGGCGTCATCTACTGCTGCTTCGGTGAGGAAGACAGGGGCAAGGCCAAGGCCTGGTTGGGCAGCTGCCTCTTGGCATTACTATCTTTCTCTTTAAGAACCATGCTAATACACTATACTAATATACTAATCGTAACTTACAGTATCTTCTTTTATCCCTAGTAATGTGCCACACCTACTTTTCTGTTTCCCAGACAGCTTTCTTCTGCCTATCCCAGTATTTCTTGTCCTTCTGACTATCATCTACTTTTTCTATCCACCGTACCTTGTCTTTCCTTATCAATGTTCCCCACTAAACTGAATTCCCTTACTATCTTCTAGGAGAGGGTGCCCTCTTTCCAGACCATTCTACTCCCTCCCCAACTCTTCTCCTTTTGTACCCACTCTCCTCAACAAGGCTCCCATATCGTTATTTGCCCCTTCTACCCAATATTCCTCTCTCCAGTGCCTAAGCCAGCACTCTAAGCCCTTTCTTCTGCTTATTTCTCCCCATGCCTCCAAATTTTCCATGTCTCCTCTTTGCAGCATCCATCCCTGGAATGCCTCCTATTCCTTCCTGCGGTCATCCCTCTCTCGGCCTCTTAGTGCTGAGTATTCCCCTGATACCTGGTACCCACCTCTCCACCCCCATCACAGGCTACCGATGCTTCAAGGCGGTGATGTTCCTGTCTGGGCTGCTTTCAGGAGCCCTGGTCATCTTCTTGCTATGCCATAGGGAACGGGTATTGGAGACACAACTGAGCATGGAGGTGAGCGCAGGCATCGCGCTGGGCATTGGCCTCCTCTGTGGACTGGTCACAATGCTGGTCCGAAGCGTGGGGCTCTTCCTGACTGGCCTCCTGCTTGGCCTGACCCTAGGGGCAGGTGCCCTACTAGGCACTGAACCCATCTACCAGCCACCCTCAGCCTGGGTGCCAACGGGGGGCCTGGTGGGACTGGCACTTCTAGGTGCCCTGCTTACCCTACGCTGGCCTCGACCTTTCACTATGTTAGGCACAGCCCTTCTGGGGGCAGCCGTACTGGTGGGCTGTGCAGACTACTTCCTGGAGGGGCTGGCACTGGGCGGGCGTCTGGGTCAGCGACTTCAGGCATTGCCTGCCCTGCCTCCACTCTGCTGGTACAGCTGGGCCCTGCTGGGTGCCTGGCCTGCCCTGGGGGCACTTGGGGCTCTTGCTCAGTGGAGACTCACAGCCGAGGGACCCAGAGGCCATGATGATGGTAAGTTAAAATCTTGATATGGATACGCCATATTTCTCCCCATTCTCATCCCCTACATCATTTCTAATCTCAAATGCCTGGGTTGGAGGGTGGGGGGAGAGGAGGAAAGAGATCCATATACTTGGGAAGGGTGCATGGGACTACCTGACCTGGTGGAGGCAGCTGGAAAGAATCATCAGGGAACAAAATGGAGGGCATTACTGATGCTTGGCAGTGAGAGTAGGAATTTGCCAGGATAGAGGTCCTGAGGCTTAGGACTTCAGGAGAGAGATAGAGGGAGGGGTGTCACTATTAGGGGATTATCCTATGTGAAAAGACTTTGTAAAGGAAGATTACAGAGAAGAGAGAACATAATCTCCAGGTTGGGGAGTTTTATCCTGGGGTTAACTGAAGCATAAAGGTTAAATGGGTATGGAAGTGAAGTGGGAATCTCCCTGCAGTGCTGGGGCTTGGGTTTGGAGTGGACTTTGAGGAGGTCCTGACTTAGTCCCCACTTCCTCCAAAGGAATTTTGAGCCATCGACTGAAGGGCCTCCAGCTTCTCAGGATCCGCCAGCAGGAGGCCAAGTGGCAGCAGAATTCTGGGGCAGTGGCCAGCGAAGGCAGCTACCATCGCCAGGTCCCACACAGAGCTCGGAGTCCAGCTGACAGCCTGGCACCAGTAAGTGGGCAGGGAGGGTGGGAGGAGAAATATGGAAAGCCAGGGCCTCTGACCTTGGCCCTTCTCTCCTCTCCCCTCCTCTTCTTCCTGGTCTTACCTACCCTACAGAGTTATCTCCAGAGCCTCCGGGATCGACAGCTGGGGCCAAGCACTATGGGTACCCCCCATCATGCCATCCTGGACCTAGACTCTGACTGTGGTTCCACCGCGCCCCTCACCACACCCCCTCGCTCCAACCAAACCTGAGCCTCTGTCCATAAACACACACACACACACACACACACACACACACACACACACACACCCGCCTTAGAGAGAAGGGTCAGAGCACCAGGTGGGGCAGAAGAGGTAGAATTTTCCACTGATAACTATACACAGAAATGCATATTCCCTCTTCTCCTCCTCAGCTATTAGACTGGCCATGGAGGGAGAGGGCATGAAATGTGGTCCAGCCCAGCCCTGAAGGAGAATGTGCCAGGGTGGAGCTGGGGACAGCTGGAGGGAGATTGAAGGAGGAAGGGGGTGGAAGAACTGAATTTTCACCTCTGCTCAAACTATAGAGATAGCCTTATATTCTTAGAATTCTCTGTCACCCCTAAAACTCAGCACTACTGCCCAACCTACCATGACCCCAAGCCTGGAAGGACACTTCTCCCTTCTACAACATGACCTCCTTTTGTACCACCCAAATCCTGTGCCACAAAGTAGGAAAATGAGGTTTTTGAAGATGCTACAAAAAAGCAGGGAATTTCTAAAGACAGATGTAACTCCTTTCTGGGAAGAAGGGGAAAGATCTCTTTTGAGTCCCCCTGACTCCTCAAGTCTCAGGTTAATGAAGGGGAGTGGGTTAGGACACTCAGTATTCTTTTCTCCCACACACCTCCAGTGCCTGAGCCCCATTCCTACCTCATGTGGGGGCTCTGTCCTCCCTGGTGCTTTCCACTTTCCCTCCTCTCAGGCTTGTGGCATATGCTAGGGCAGAGCCCACTCAGACCCTGCCCCTTATTGGCTTCTTGTGGAGAAAAGAAGAGGGCAGCTCTGGGGAGAGCTGCAAGGGGTATAAGGGTGGCAAAATGGGAGATGGACAGATGCCAGCACCTTCTCTGCCTCTCAGCCCCGTAGGACACTAGCATTCTAACTGCACCTTCACTCCAGCCACTAACCCTGGTCTAATGTCCCTAGCCCTATACCAGTGTCCATAAACTCCCCCCATTGGAGGAAAGAGATAAAATGGATACCAAGGCAGAGGGAGAGGAGATATCGATGATATATAAATAAAATGGCATTGAAGATTAAACCAGGTGCTCCAGACTTTCCCTATTTCCTCTTTTTCCCTTTGATGAAATCATTTCCAATCCAATTCAACAAAGGCTTACTAAATGTCAGTCATGGGCAAGGCACTACCCTAAAGAAAAAACAGTTGCTACCTAGAGATCTGAGATTTTCCTGTGTAGGGAATTCTTCCCACTAATGCAGATAAGTAGCACACCTATTGAGAGTCAGAGTTACCTGGGGCATTCACGGGTCAAGTGAAATGCCCAGGTTCACACTGCTAATATGTGTCTGAGGTAAGGCCAGGCAGGATTCTGAGCCAAGGCTAGGCCTTCACTGCACCAAGATGCCTCTGAAGCCTTGTAGGAAAGTTAGGGTCCTGTGTTCTGATCCTCAGCTCTACAGACTCATGAATTCCATTTTAGCAGACCTATCATTTTTGTTGAGATAAGTTTTCAGATTTTTGCTTAATGGATGTTTCCACTTTTCATTTTTAAAATAACTCCCCTCCCCCACCTAACATCTATAAAATCCTTATTTTTAAAAAACCTCCTTAAAACAAAATTTGAAAACATATGCTCAATATTTTTAAAATATTTAGTAATGTTATTGGTTAAAACAATATCACCCGAAAGTGATAGGCTCTGAGGGATTAGTTCAATTGAATAGAAATCACAAGTGACTCCAATTATTAACATGGATGCCAATTTATTCATTGGCAAAAGGAAATCTATCCAACTAGATTCCCAGTAACAATCACAGGAATTCTCAAATTATTGAGATCATAAGGTTGCTTGGTGAACATAGAAACAGTGCAAAGAATCTATGCTGTCCTAAAGGACATTTTTATCAAGCTAGGCTAGTCTGATAAACTGCCATCCTGTATCATACTTTTCCATATTTCCTTCCTAATATCTGGAACCAGTCATTAGAATCAGAGACACACTGACTGACAAGCTTGGTCCTCCTGCAGACCATTCTGTTATCCAACTTTATCTTGGGTCTTCTGGAACCCAGTGGAGTAAATCTTAGCTTCCTTACATTTAAGATTGGCACCTAGTTTCAGGAGTCATCTCACAACCATAGCCCATTCTTACATTCCCTTCTTCCTTAGCCCAGTACCTAGTGTTTAATAAATGCTTGATTTCATTTCCTTCTTTCATTAATGCAACAAACATACTAACCATCTTTGAAAAGCACACTGCTAGGTGCTTGAGTAGATAAAAACTTAAATAAGACCTGGTCCTTGCCCTCCAGGGGCTTACAATCTAGTAGGAAGAATAAGACATTTACAACAATAACTTTTATAAATTCATATATGATCAGTGCATAAGAGAATCACAAGGTGCTGTGATGAAAGAGAGATCACATCTCCCAGGGAGCGCTGTTTCATCGTTTGGTCACTGAATCATACTAACTTCAGTTTCAAAGGGTGACATTTTTTACATACTCAAATTTTTCAGATGCCGCATTTGAATTTTTCGAGGCTATGCATTGACTACAGCAAGAACTGTGAAGAGAACTTAAGCACACCAAGCTCTGTAAACATTGTTTTTTGTCCTGGTGGGTAATTACTCCCTTTCCCTCCAGCCCTAAGGGCACACACCCTGTAGTAAAGTCAACAATTGAAATTAGAGATGGTCCCAGACACGCAGAGCTGCCCTTAGGGCGTGAAGTTGATGATGCTGTACAAGACAAGGAAGAAGGTGTTCATGGCCAGGGAGTAATCAGTGTTTGATGCAAAAGAAAGGGTAGCCCTGCCCAGGTGGGGAAGGTATGATAGCCATCTAGGAGGACTAGATGCACTAGGTCAGGGAAAGTCTCTAGCCCAGGGGCAAAGTGCCTCTGCCAAGAGTGAAGAGATGAGCCGAGGACCAGAGGCATGTTGCTCATAGCTGGTAATACTGTCCTTGGTGAGGTGGGGCAGTCTTCAGGGTTAGGGTGCCCAAGATCTAAAGAATAGGGTCAATTCCTCCTCGTGAACAAGAGTGGTAGTGGGAAGAAGTACAGAGGAGTTATCCGGAGCTGAGAAAGATGTGGTCCTTTTTGTGGCTAAGTGGACGCTTCTTTGGAGCTGGTGGCTGAGGCTGTGATGCCCATGGTTGGGGGAACACAGTGCATCCAGTTCTGGGAAGTGTCCTTGGGAAAGCCTTTCTCCACTTGAAGCTGCTGGTTCAGGCGCCAGTACTTTTTACCTTTAAAGAAGTAGACTTTGCCATCCTGCCAGCTCAAGGCTGCGGAGGGCTCATCTGGAACTCCAGTGAACAGCTTTCCTATCGGCTTTGGGTAACGGCTGAAGTCATTCACAGCCAGCTCATCCCACTGCCAATACCCAGAGCCCTGGGGATAAAAGGAAAAAAGAGTGTTAAGGATTTCCTACAGCTCCTATGTAGCTTTCACCTTCCAGTGCAGCAGCCCCTCCCTTTAAGAAGCCTGCCTTCCTCTTTAAGGATGCCATCTTTCCACTGGAAAAGGACTTTCACTCCGCTATCACCATTCCTAAAGGGAATGCCAATTCCCTTTATATGCAAGGCACAGGGCACTGCCCTAAAGGAGAAACAGTCCCTCCCTTACACTCTTACAAAGTTGAAGACTTTGTACCTTGAAAAGGAAAATTTTCTGGTTGACAGGCCAGTACAGAGCTGCATCCAAGTTGGGTCCCACTTGACTTAGCCGCTTAGGAAAGCCAGGGACCAATTTGAAGCCCATGTAGCGCCAGATCATATTACCTAACGGGGAGAGGAAAAAAAGTAAGATCTGCAGTGTATATCCCTTCCTTTCGAAAGTTTCTCCTTTATCCTGTATTTTTCCAGGGACTTAAACAGAGGATTAAGCTGAGTCAGGAAAGCATGGGTTCAAGTACTACCCCTGACGCGTACTAGGATTATGATCATGATAAGACACCCAACCTCTCAGTGCCCCCTGGTAACTCTTTAAGGCTGCAGCTAGAAGTTACAGATGAGGTGCTAATCTGCAACAGTGGAGGGAGTTTTCCATCCTGGAAGTCCCCTACACCAAGAAAACCACAGATCTGGTCCCAACTGCCCAGAAAAGCCAAAGCTCCAAATCTTTATCCTCTTAAATTATCTTTGTTCCTCTTTTTAAGACACCCTATTCCCTCCTCACCTTTAAAGAAATGGATCCATTTTGTGCGGGGAGAGTAGACAGCAGCATCCAGGTTCCCTGGGAGCCCCTTCCATATGGTCGCTATATGGAAAAGGGGTCCCAGTCTGGAGCCAGTCACTGTCCATACATAGTCTCCTTTGAAGGCATATGTCTTTCCGTGAGGGCCTGGAGAAAGGATGATGGTTGAAAGTGAAAAAGCAAAACCAAGTCCAGGAGACACACACACACACACACACACACACACACACACACACACACACACACACACTCTTTCTCTCTCTCTCTCTCTCTCTCTCTCTCTCTCTCTCTCTCTCTCTCTCTCTCTCTCTCTCTAAGGTTTCCCACCCACAGGAAGTCCTATCAGAAGTTCAAAGTTTATTCCAAAACAAATATATTCATTGTCCAATGTGAGAGGTAGCTTGTAGGTAATGGTAAGACTGACAGCTTTGGAGCCTGACAAGACCAAGCCTTGTCTCAGATACACACTCTACAAGTCATTTCACTTCTCAAGGTCCAGGCCATTCCCTGGGACAATGTGATAGTTAATGAGCAGATCTGTAGCAGTAAAGGGAGTTTTCATACCAGAAGTTCCCTACACAGATGAAATCACAATTCAAGGACACTCCCTCTCCTACCCCCTCTAGAGGCATTGAGTTCTTCTCCCTTCCTTGGAAGCCCTGAGTCATTCCCACTTTTCCAGTCCTTAGAGATAGATGGTCTGTCAAATTTTGCTGAGCTTCTCCCCCAAAGGGAGGAGTTTACCTAGCATCATGGCATCCAGCTCTCCGCTGCAGGGGTCAGACACAGCTCCCGGCAGTGTGGGCCCTGGGGTTACAATGGAAACTTCATTCTCTTCCTCCTCTACCTCCTCTTCCTTCTCTCCACTCGGAGGGATCCTCTTGCCTGCAAGTTAAAGACACATCAGGCCTTGGAGGAAGGCATTTAGAATATCACACAATGAAATAAAAGCTTCCCAGAGTCCTTTCCCCACCACTTACTTAGAGGGCCTGGGGAAGGATAAAAAAAAATCCATTTTGGCTCCCAGTAGAAGCATCAACAAGGAAAGTTTGATGGAAGATGGAGAAAGGTAAAGTAACCAGGGCACTCTCTATTCCAAGTGAGGGAGATTGAGGGCACTGGGCCTAGGACTGCAGCCCAATGGAGCAAGGTTAAAGCCAAAGGGAAGGGGATACTGATGATTAGGTAAGAAGGAGCCAGGGTATTTCACTCCTAGAAATATCTCAGCATGAAAGAGAATCCTATTTTGGTGGGTTGAGGAAAGAGTATATTCACTGAAGTAGGAGATTTGGGGAAACAAACATGGTTTGGGGGAGGGGAGGAGAGACTTACCATAGAGGGCCTGAATCCCTGCCACATCATCAGGGTGAAGCTGGAAGTGGGGCCGGAAGCCAGAATAAACAGGTGCCATGAGGGCCTGCGGGTATCGGGAATGGCCCAGCCCGAGCGCATGGCCAAGCTCATGGGCTGCAATGATGCGAAGATTCACCCCCATTTTGGTCCCCTCTGTCCAGGTCTCTGATTCATCGAAATGCACACTGCCCGATTCAGGGATGTCAGCATGAGCCAGGACCTTTCCTGGGCACAGGGCATTGAGAAAGGGGAATGAGTAAATGTTGAGTGAAATGTGCAGCTGCCCTCCAGTCACTTTATTCTCATTTCTCCATCCCTTCAAGATCCTTTATCTAGTCCTCAAATCTCTCTTGTCTTTGTGACTTCCACCCACATCCCAAACCTCAAAAATGTCCTCTGGGAAGGAGTCGTGGATCAAAGAACTTGGAGGCCTTAGAAGCCTTCAGGTCCGCTCTCTTCATTTTATAGAAGAGAAAACCGGGGCAGCTAAGTGGCTCAGTGGATTGAGCACCAACCCTAAAGTCAGAAGGACCTGAGTTCAAATCTGGTCTCAGACACATAACACTTACTAGCTGTGTGACCCTGGGCAAGTCACTTAACCCCAATTGCCTTAAAAAAAAAAAAGGCAAGTGTCCAAATTGACACAGGGAATATGGAATAAGCATTTATAAGCATTTATATAATGACTACTATTTGCCAGGTACTGGGTTAAATGCTTTTCAGATATCTCATTACAGGGGAAGCTAGGTGGCGCAGTGGATAGAGCTCGGGCCTTGAAGTCAGGAGGACCTGAGTTCAAATGTGGCCTCAGACACATAACACTTACTAGCTGTGTGACCCTGGGCAAGTCACTTAACCCCATTGCCTAGCAAAACAAACAAACAAATAAATAAACAAACAGATGCCTCATTACATCATCACAACTCTAAGAGGTAGGTGCTATTATTACCGCCATCTTATAGTTGATAAAACTGAGGCAAACAGGAGTTAAGTAACTCCTCCAGAGTCATACAACCATTACGAGTCTGAGGCCACATTTGTACTCAGGTCTTCTGACTCAAGACCTAGCATCCGATATGCAGTGCCACCTAGCTGCCCTAATAGGTAGTACATGGCAGAGACAATATCTGAACCTAGATCTTCTGACTCCAAATCTAGTGACCTTTCACAATGCTATCCTGTGTCTATGGAAGAATCAGTAAACATTTGTTAAGCTCTTACTGTGTATCAGGCACTGTGCTAAGTGCTGGGGGTACAAAAAGAGGCGAAACACAGTCCTGCCCCCAAGGATCTTACAATCAAAAAAGCTCAATGAGAATGTGGAGGAGGGACGGCCAAGTTCCTCTAAGGGAGCCTTAGGAAGCTGTCAAAATGGATCAGGGTGGAGCAGTAAGGAGGGAGAGGAGCAATGTCCAAACCAACATAGTAAGGGATTCCTAGACTAGACTGGTACTTAATAAAATCAGTTAATTATTTGTTAACTGTCTATTCTGTGCCAGACAGTAAGCTAAGTGCTGGGGATACAAATATGCTTTTTTTTTTTGGAGGCAATAGGGGTTAAGTGACTTGCCCAGGATCACACAGATAGTAAGTGTCAAGTATCTGAGGCTGGATTTGAACGCAGGTCCTCCTGACTCCAAGGCTAGAACTCTATCCACAGCACCACCTAGCTGCCCCCTGGAGATACAAATATGATGAATGCAACAATCCCTCCTAGCAAACCACTTACATTCTAAAACAGAATACAAGAAGGAGATAGAAATAGACATACAGATATATGTATGCAGAATAAGTAGGAATTAATGCAAGTAGCAAAATACAAGGCAGCTTGAGAGGGAAGGACTTCATGTAGAAGTTAGCTCTTGAGCTGTGTTGTGAAGAAAAAGAGGGTATCTAGGAGGCAGAAGTGAAAAGGGAGGGCATTCCAGGCGTGAGATGACCAATACAAAGGAATGTGTGGGGAACAGAAAGGCCATTTAGCTGGATCGCAGGGACTGAGAGACAAGAGTCCAATGAGTCTGGAAAGATAACGCCAGGTTGTAAAGACCCTTAAAAGGCCCTGAAGAAAGGAGTTTATATTTTATTTTGGAGGCAATAATTTAAAATGGAGTTTACAGAGCAGGAGAGGGACATAGATCTGTGCTTAAGGAAAATCACATATAACAGGACAGACTAAAGTGGAGAGAGACTTATGGCAGAGATATCCACTAAGAGGCTGTTGTAATAGTTGAGGTGAGAGGTGATAAGGGCTTGAACTAAGAGGATAGCTGAGTAAGTAAAGACGAGGGGTCTGATGAAAAAGATGTAGTAGAGGTTGAAATGGCAAGACTGGGCAGCTGGTTTAGATATGTAGGATGAAGGAAAGAGAGGAAAATGCCAAAGTTACACATCTGGGAGCCTGGAAGAATGAGCCAGCTAGGTGGTATAAGGGATAGAGTACTAGTCCTGAGTTCAAATCAAGCCTCAGTTGTGTGACACCAGGCAAATCTCTTAACCTCTGTGTGCCTCAGTTTCATCACCTGTAAAATGGATATAATAATAGCAGCTATCTCCCAGACTTGTCATGAGGATAAAATTAGGTGATATTCATAAAATGCATAAATTCTGCCTGTTATTATTATGGTACATTTGTCAAAAACTGGGAAATTTGGAAGAAGGGGATGTTTGAGGGGAAAGATAACAAGTTTTGTTTTTGACGTGCTCAGTTTGAGATATTTCCAGGATATCCAGTTTGAAATGTCCAATAGGTAATTGATGATATGGGACTGAAGCTCAAGAGAGAGGCTAAAGCAGAACATATTGATCTGGGAGTCATTATTAAATTCATGGGAGCTGACGAGGTCACCAAATAAGAATATAGAGAGAAGAGAAGGGAGTCTAGGACAGAACCTGGAACACTCTGAGTTAGAAGTTGTGATCTATTTCCAGCCAAACAGACTGAGAAAGAGCAGTCAGACAGGTAGGAGGAGAGAGAGAGAAAGAGAGAGAGAGAGAGAGAGAGAGAGAGAGAGAGAGAGAGAGAGAGAGAGAGAGAGAGAGAGAGAGAGAGAGAGAGAGAGAGAATAAATTTATTAAGCACCTATGTGCCAGGTACTGCAATAATCTGTGGAAAGTAGCATCACAAAAACGCAGAGAAGAGAGGATGGTCATCAGTGTCAAATGCATCAGACAGAGAAGAATGAGGACTGGAAAAAAAAAGACCATCAGATGTGGTAAATAAAACATTATCGGTAACTATAGAGAAAATAGTTTCTGATGAGATCACAGACCAAATTGCAAAGGATTGAGGAGTGAGAGGAGAGAAAGTAGAGGCAAAGAATGTAGACATAGCACATAGATCTAGGACAATAGCTTAGAGGGGATGGCAGGGCCTAATGAAAGTTTTTTTAAGGGTAGGACAGACTTGGGCATGTCTGAAGACAGGGAAAGAACTAGTAGATAAGAAGAGATTGAAGAATAAAAAGAGAGAAGAGAGAGGGTGATGACCAAGTTTGCAATCTGCTGAGGATGAGAGGGGACAAGATCAAGGGCACTAGGGCTTACCAGGTCCATCAAAACCTTGTGAGCAGTGGGGGTCGCGTTGGCCATGGAAGGAAAAACGGATATCTGCCCAGCCTGCCTGAATCTCTCGGAAGCTCAGGGAGGCCACCCTGCTCCAGTATCTGAAAGCAGTATGCAGGGCTTTCCTAGCAGTGTAGATTGGGAGGGTGGATGGCCAATTCAGGATACGGAACGTTAGATGCCTCTTCCGCCAGCGACCTGGGGTGGTCGGATATGAATCAGAGATCAATTTTTCTTACCAATCCAGACAGGGATGGAGAGAAAGAAGCCCATGCCCTGGTCTCCTCTCGGTGTCAATTCATGACCACTTTAGGCTAAGTGGTCAGTCCATCTTTCCCCATCCCTCTTCCTTACAATGTTCTACACTCTACCTTCCATATTCCCTTCCTAACTTCAACCCTCACCTAGAAGTAAGTATTTTTGGGTCTTTTGGTTGAAGGGATCTTCCAGACCACAGCGGGGCTCCCCCATTCGTGCCCTTGTTAGCCAATCCAACTGCCCAGAGATTGGCAGCTCTGAAGCTTCTTGGAAGGACCTGGAATTAAAAAAAAAAAAGGAAACTCATTGGGGTAAGGAGGATGATATATATGGTCGACAGTATTATGCTCTTTGCTGCCTGAGATATTGCTTGTTATCCAATACGGATGGTCTGAGAATCATTACAACCATGTAGTTGGGGGTGAGGAAGAGGTTCTTTTCTGTGTCCTTAAAATAAGGAAATGTTCAGTTTCCTTTTACATAGTCCATTTCCAGCTCTCTCTCTGACTTTGGTAAAATTCTCCCTTAGGTCTAAACTTTTTTTTTTCCTCTAAAGCTACAGCCCCTTCACCTTGTTCCCCTCCTCTAGGCAATCCTTCCTCTAAAGATTCTCCCATCAGAGTTGCCAACCACAAGCAACATTCTCTTTTAACGTCCTCTTCTGGATCGTGCTTTTCATCCTCAGATCTTTGCTTGTCCTCTTCCTCCTCCACACCCTCACTCCCAAAACTGAATCCAGACCGAAGCCTAGCTGGAACTGGTGAGAAGATGAGGAACTGGGGAATTGAAGGTCATTGAATAGTCAGCCCAGTGAGATTGAAAAGAGCTGGATGGGAGGCAGAGGAAATGGATTCCAATCTTGACCGGGCTGCTTTAGCAGATAACCTTAGAGCATGTTCTTTGCACTTCAGTTCTGGACTTCCTCACTTTAAAAATGAGGAAGGAGGCTGGGCTGGAGAGGCTCTCTGACGCATTTTCTGATACTCTGGAGGGAATTCTTGTTCAGGGTATGGGTTGAACTGGGTCTCCTCTCAAGGCTCTTTCTACTCTTTGATTCTGTGGATTAGCCAATGAGTAAATATATTTTGGCAAGGACTGGGTGAAAATGGATGGACTTGGGTGCTGCTAAACCCAGAATAGAATCAAAGGAAGAGATGGGGTTGCATTCAGGAAACTGAAACACTTTTAAAAATCTCAAGCTGTTCCCTGCTCGTTCACTCTCTCTCTCCCCTCCCCCCATCCTTCCCTCTCTGTCTCTATCATCTATTATCTATGTATCCATCATCTATATATCTGTGTATCTCTCTCTGTCTCTCCCTCTCTGTCTCTGTCTCTGGGTCTCTGTCTTTCTCTCTCTCTCCCTCCCTATCTCTATCATCTATTATCTATCATCTATGTAGCTATCATCTATATATCTGTGTACCTCTCTCTCTCAAATACACACACACACACACACACACACACACACACACACACACACACACACCCCTCTTTTGGCAGCTAGGTAGCACACAGTGGATAGAGCACTGAACCTGGATTCAGGAAGACCAGAGTTCAAATCTGGCCTCAGACACTTACTATCTTAACTTTTGTTACTTAACTTTGCCTCAGTTTCCTCAACTGTAAAATGGGGTAATAATCACATCTACCTCACAAAGTTGTTATGAAGATTAGATGAGATAATATTTATAAGGTGCTCAGCACATCTGCTCTTAATAAATACTTGTTCCAGGGGCAGCTAGGTGGCACAGTGGATAGAGTAATAGCCCTGGATTCAGGAGGACCTGAGTTCAAATCCAGCCTCAGACACATAACACTAAATAGCTGTGTGACCCTGGGCAAGTCACTTAACCCAATGCCTAACACCCCCCCCAAAAAAAAGTCATGTGCTTAAAAACAAACAAATAAATAAATAAGTGCTTGTCCCATAAATAAATAAATAAATGATTTTTACAAGAGGGGCAGCTAGGTGGCACAGTGGATAGAGCTCTAGCCTTGGAGTCAGGAGGACCTGAGTTCAAATCCGACCTCAGACACTTGACATTTACTAGCTGGACACTTACCCTGGACAAGTCATTTAACTCCAATTGCCTCACCAAAAAGCAAAAAAACATAAAAAATAAATACTTCCTTCCTCTATCTGTGTATCTATCTATCATTTATCTGTACACATATGTATGTAGGTATATATACACACACATTTATACACATAGATGTGTGTATATATATGCATATGGATATATATATATATTATTATATATATATATATATATATTCACACATATGTTTAACACCAGTATTCTTCTTCAATGCCCTATAGCTGAGAATCATGGCATGCTACTTTGGCCCCCACCCCAGGTGTGTCCATTCTTGACCTCTTACCTCACTGCTTCTGTCACCTCTTCTGGCCCAAAATCATCTGTCATTCTCTCCAGAGGCTTCTGCAGGTACCCATACTTTATTAGGTAATCCTAAAGATAGCAATAAGGAATGGACCTGCAATTTTATTGGTGTAGGGAACTCCCAGTTAAGGAAAATCCTTCTACCAGTGCTGGTTAGCACCTCCTCTGCAATTTATGGGACAAAGGTTCAGGCATCTTCTGACTGATCAAACAAAATCCATAGAGGAGGGAGAAGGAAGGACAGAGAAAACTAGACTGCTGAGGAGTAGACAAAGGAAAGAAGAGAAGAGCAGGAAAAGATGAGTGAGAGGACAGAACAGAGGGAAGATTAGAAAGGAAGCAAGAAATAGATAGCAAATGGAAAGTACCTGGCAAGAGGGTAACCAGATATCCCATCCTGCTATGCACCCTCTCTGCAAACCCAAGGTGCCCCCCTAACATTAACCAATACTCACCAGAGCCTCCTTCTGATTCACGGGTTTCACGGACCTCCCTGCCACCATTATGGGAAGGAGACATCCCAGCCAGAGCAGTTGCCACTTCATAATCTTATCACAAACTAAGAACACCAAATCCAGGGAGAGTGCAGCTGAAATCGCTGAGAAACAGACTGAATGTGGGGCTGAGAGACCTCCCAGGTCCTAGACTTTCGGTCCCCGCCTTTGCTTCTAGTCCCTCTTTATAGTATTTTAGCTGGGGCTATGGGGGGGGGGCAGCAGAGGGAGGTGACTCAGTCTAGAAAGGAGATATGTTGCAACTATTCCTTTTAACCCTTGCCCTACTGGGCAGAAAAAGCCTTTCTCCATGGACCTCTTGTGTCTGTATAGCCTAGAAAGAGAAAGCCAAACACCTGAATCTAAGCTGATTATGAACGGATTGTTCTGATGGTGGTAATCTGGGAAGTGCCTGAATTGGTCATCAGGGATAGACAACTCCAAGAAAAGGGCTAGGCCTGTCTGGAGTTGAAAGTCATTCTTAGACCTCCATCTAACCCTAGCCCCAACCTAGCCTTGCTAAACATCTTCATGAAGATTATTTAGCCTTTTACCATTAATGGAATTTTCTATCTCTCCCTGGTAACTGTACAGTAAGAGGAGAAATATCTAAGAGGCACAGTGTAGCTGAAGTGTTTGATTTCAAGAAATTTGTAGTGTAGTCACTTCCTCACTCTCTAGTGTTACAACTTCTACTAACTAGCTAGGACCCAGCTTAGGTTAGTATGTCAAAAATGTCCCTGAACTTGGAGCCAGGGAAAAATGGGCTTGAATCCTGAGACTGACACTTGCCAGCTATGAGACCGAGGGCAAACTATTTACCCTCTCTGAGCTTCAGAGTACTTATCTTTCAAGGAGGAGTGACAATACCTCTCTTGATCCTTTTAAGGATTAAATGAGATAATACACATACAAACCTTAAAATCACTATAAAATATCAACTATTCTATCTCCTAATATTTAGGTGGGGGTGAGGGATGGGTAAAGGATAAATAAAAGATATTGGGAAGAATATGGTATACACACATGAACAAACATTTATTAAGCGCCAAATATGTGCCAGGCATTGTGCTAAGTGCTGAGGATATAAACAGTCAAAAGATAGTCTTTGACTTCAAGAAGTTCACAGTCTAATGGGGGAGACAGCATACAAATGACAGGTAAGATAAATGTAGGATAAACTGGAGATAACAAAGGGAAGGCATTAGGGAAGTTTATAAAGAAATAGATTCTAAGTGCTAAGTGAATGGGATAAACATCATAAACCATGGTGAGCTCAGAGAAGAGAGAGGGGGGCCCTTCAGATGGAGGTGATTAGACAAGGTTTCATGGAGAAGAGAAGATGGTCATTGCCTTGGCCATGAAGATGTGGGAGCAGGAGAGGAAGGAGAAAGGCATTTCTGATGGGGAAAGCATTCTATCAATAGCTTGAAGGTAAGAAAGCATAAAACATTTGGGAGCAGGAGGGGAATGAATGGGCCAGAGTGTCTGAAGCAAAGAGAAGGTTTTTGTAAGGGAAGAGTAGAAATCCCTCTGGTAAGGAAGGTAAAGAGTAGACTAAGGAAGGCCTTGAATGCCAGACTAATTTATTAGATAATGACAATGATGATAATAGCATACCTTGATTAAAGTAATTATATTTATTATTAGCTGTAAAATGCTGTATAAATTTGATGCATCGTAACTATTTTAAAACTTTTTTTTTGCATTATCTCATTTAATCCTCCTAAACAGCTTAATGAGGTAGATAATGCAGGTATTATGGCTCAATTCTACAAACAAGGAAACTGAGGTTTGGGAGTAATTAAATGTTTTGCTCAAAGCACACATAGAGCCAGATTAAACCCTTCTTCTAATTCTGACCTTTCCACCTACAGTCTGAAACTTCTCCACTTTAACAGGGGCCTCCAAGAGAAATCTTAAATCCTTGAAATAGGGGTAGGGTTATTTTGTTCAAGGTCTCACTTAACACCCAGTTCTGACCCTCCCTCCCAATTCCAAGATAAAGAAAGATGTAAAATAGGGACCCTGTAATAGGAAAAAGGGAAGTTCCTGATTCAGCTGCCTCTCTATATGTCATTCCTGTACTCCTGAGTCACCCAGCACCCAGTTGTGAAACAAATGTGCTGAGTCACAAATATACAGATCTCAAGGGTGGCAAAAAAAAAAAAGGACAAATGACAGATCCTTAAGAGAGACTCATAATCCCAAGTCACAGCTAGCTCCATTCCTCAGAGGCAACCTGCCCAAGATGGAGAGGGAGCAGAGTGGGAGAGAAGGAATCAATCGCACTCTGACTTCCTGGATATTCTTCCCTGTAGTCTGATCTCCTAGAAGTTTTACCCAACAGTCTTTGAGACCTAATCTTTGACTGTCACCTAGAAATATAGTTTCCCCATAACACTAGATGGGAACAGTGAAAGAGGGTAGGGGTTAGATGGACAAACCACACTAAGGAAATGTTAAATGAGTTGGAAATGATATGTCCATTGAAGCACTGGTTATATAAAGGGTATGAGTAGTATGACTGGGACTTAGAGGAGGGTAAGATGGGCTATTGACCCCCTCAGATGGCTCTGCAGAGGACAGCCACAATGATGGGCTTAGGAACCCCGAACTTGGGAATAAAGGACCCCCACCAACATTCAAAACATGATGTGCTTTTTGATTATTTGGGTCCCCTGCTGCCTCAAGTTGAGGAGTCAGGAAAGACAGACAGGAATAATGAATGCCTTAGAAGGGTGCGTGGTGACTCACTTCCCTATGACCACAATGGCATCATGACCATCCTCAGTCCCCCAGGGCCAACATGACACAGATCCATTCCTTCAAAAATTTGACATCTGGGCTAAGAATTGGGTGAGGTCAGGGCAGAAAATGGAGGATGTGATCACAGGTTATCAGAATTTCAGATCATCCGATTCCATAAGGCCTGAAATCCTGAGGGTTGCTACTTACCTTCTCTGCCCCAAGATGCAAGGGAGGAAGAGGAAGGGAAGGGGGAAAAGATTATATTTCTCAGAGTGTTTAATTTAATTTAATTTAATTAAGCTTGTCCCCTGTCTCCTATTAAATTTGTTTTAGTTATATTTCTCAGAGTATTTTTCAATAATTAGAAAGCTATGAAAAGCAGGATGGTGAAATGAAAACTTCTCTACATCAATAGAAATCCAAGTTCAAATTGCTCCTCCCACACTTACTAGCTATGTGACTGTGGGCAAGGTCTCTGAACTTTAGTTTCCACATCTGCAAAATGGAAACAAAAATGTTAGTTGTACCAACTTCACAGCAATATTGTAAGGAATAAAATATAATGG